AATTTTATTTCTCTGGACATCTATTTGTTCTTCCGAGTTTTCTGGTATATCTTTGATCCATTTTTCCGTGTTTTCTTCCATTTCTTTGTATTTGTTATCATGGCAATTTTGAACTCTGTATATGATAGGAAGAAAAGAACTTCCAGGTCTTTGTGGTTGGGTTCTGGAGATTTGTTCTGTTTCTGTGGTGTAGTATTCCCCTGCGGACTCAGGTTAGTTTGTTATGTTGTGTTGTGTTGTTGTTTTTTTTTTTAATCGCCCTATTATTTGCTTTCTGGATATTAAGGGAATAGAGCTTCCATTTTCCCAGTAGACAGTACTGTATATCAGGGAGAACTAATCTGTAGCTGGGTCTCCTCTGGGTGGTGAAGGGACATTGAGGGGTCTATTGCTATGGAAGTGGTGAGTGTAGGTGCACTCATGTCTGTGTGGTCACTCATGTCTGTGTGACCACTGCTTGCTCTCCTCTCTGTTTCAGGCCTGAGCCTCTGCACACAGCAGGCTGGACTTTTGGTGTGGCCCCAAGGCATTCCAGTGAGGCTTCTCTATATGGCTTGGTGCCCATATCCACCCAGCATCCACTCCTGGGGAAAATGGATGGGGTGAGTAGTTCTGAACTCAGGTCTTCCTCATCAGGCTCCCTGTATACCTGGCTATACTCTTGCCTATATCCGCCAAGGTTAGAACAAGTAGATTCACCCTTGCTGAATGCAGCTCTAAACTGTGATTTCCACTGTGAGAAGCCTCCCTCTAATTTATACTTTCATTTCCCTACATTGAATTTCTCCAGAATCTCCTTTGCAGGCATAGTCAGCATTGGTCCCCCATGATGGTGAGGCACTCCAGTTTTGTCCCATGTCACGGAATCCTCTGAGTCCATCTTCCCTGAACTGACAATCTCAACTGATTGTTTCAAATTGAACTTCCCTTTATAGATGAAATTTTTACTGTTTGTAAATACATATTTAAAGAATGCACTATATACAAAAATAAAATAAATTGAATTTCCCCAAAGCTCAAAGATATGAAAGTTAATTGTTGGTGATGGTTATTTTGCTGATAATATTATAAGTGTAAAGGTCTTGGGAGGCAACATAGTTCAAACTCCTATATTAAAGGCCAGGAAACTGATGTTCAGAAAGGAGAAACAACTAAGTTATGATTACACAACTGGACAAAGGAAGTTCTGGAACTAGGGACCAAGTTTCCTGTATGTGCTGCTGAAATTGCTCTTCTTATGACACATGGTAGAATTAAAAACCTACATAAAAGCATTTCTTTGTCATAATATTCAATGCAGTGTTTTGTTTTTTTTTTTTTAAATGCCTTTTTTAAAAATTCAAGCCCAGGGAGCTCAGGGAAATGTCTTGGATGAGCAAAGTAGAAACATCCTGGAAGCTTACTTCTGGTGAGAACCCTTTACCAGTCAAGACTAAGATCAGGGCGATTTGCCTTCCCTGGACTCTGCAGGAGTTTGAGAGAATTGGGTCTTTTATTTGTTCGTTTAGATGGTTAATTATATAAATGTGTGTCTATTTCAAGCACTCAGTGTTTAAATCAGATCTTATGATAGCATTGGTTTGCTTTTCACACTGCCCCATGAGGAGCAGATCATTGCCAGTAAGTTTTGCATGAGGAGAATTACAAATTGTTCATGCAGCCATGGCATCCTCTTTATTTTGAATGCTTTGCATTTTCTTTGGATTTGAAACAGAATAAAGGTGGCTATGCCCTTGGCACATATTTCCAGTGTCTTTCTTATCCCAGAGTTTGTGCTGAATTTACCTTTTGGGGTAAAAATCACTTGCTATGCTCCATGCTTCCAGGTTTTCCCTGCCTGATTGTGGGAGCTACCGAGACATCTCTTCGTTGCAAGCTAGGCACAGGCAGCCCAGAGGCCTGGTAACCAGGGGTTGCATGACACACAAAGCCTTGTCATTTACCCTGATCAGACTCCCACATTGTTTCCAGAAATTCATCCAAGGCAGAATCCCCCACTCCACCTTGGGCTGCTCTCCAACTAACTAGACAACTGCTTCATTTTGCTAATGGTGACCTTGGTCTGAGTTTCTCGTCATTTTTGTTTGTAGGAGGCCAACAGCCATAGATTCTGTGGGAATCAAACAAGAAAAGAGGCAAGTCCAAGTGGAATTTTCCCAGCCTCTATTTTCCTTCCAAGTGCAGATACCCTGACTGGGGTCTGCTTGTGCTGCCTGCAGGAATTTGGACCCAAGTGAAAGAGGAAAGATTTATTAGAGGAGCAGCAAGGTATTATAGGAGATGGTGCTGCACAAAAACCACAAAGCCCTGAGCAGAGAGGCTTACAAAAGCGTCATATCCTTTCAGGCAACTCTGGAACTGCTCCTCCCAGCCCTCTCATATCCTCTTTTCCCTCTGGCAAAGACTTTCTACCATGGAATGCATTTTGTTATCCTAGAAATAGGTCAGAGTTTCTTTTCATTCTGGACATAAATTTGCATGGTTTAAAAAATAAACCCAAGAGAGTACATTGGGATAGACTTTCTCCATATGTATCAAAAGTCAAAAGACTTTTGGGAGAGTTACCCTAAAGAAACAATTAGATTCATACCTAGATCTCTATGTACAAGATGTTCATCAGAGTGTTGTATATATAAATACAGGTCCCAGAGTTTCTGCTGGGAACTCCACATAGCTCCCTCCATATATGCATTTGCATTCACTCATTTAAGAGACTGAATACAAGGTTAATGAGCAGTCGAAGAGCCTCTTGAGGATAAATATTTGAAATCCTATTTTTTTCTGAGGTTGAGGTATATAAAGGTATGTCTGGTGAATGTGACCCTAGTGGAAACTAGAAAGGGGGCAACCCTAAGATGGATTTTATGATAAAGGAGAAGGAAGCAGATTTAGCAATAGGACCCAGTTATTGGAAGGAAGCTATGGTTCTAAACAGCATGTTGGCTGATACCAGCGCTTGAACCAATCCCTCGACTAATTAATGACCATTTTGATTTGCCAAAACTGAGAAGTTTTCCTGGGACATGGGACTTCCAATGCTAAATCAGGTAAGTCCTTGAAAACCTAGAATGGTTTGTCATCCTGCCCTCTACCGAGGGTGGGTGCTCAGAGGAAGAAGCTATGTAAGAAAGATAGTGTTAACTCATGCTGGACGCATCAGACTTTGAGCAACTTTGCAATGAGACCTTTGCTGAAAACTGCGAAGAGGTGTTTTCCCTCTCACTTCATAAGAGTGGCAATTGCAGTAAAGGTGATTAGTTTTGAAGTAGACTAACATATCTGGGTTATGTCAACATTTGGAATCACAGATTTTCAGCACACGGTGATGAGCTGGGAAAACAAACAGAACAAAGTTCCAGCCCAAAGTACATCCCAATGGGGCTGTCAGGTGTGGTATGTGTCATTTTGACTCTGCAAGCAATAGCCAGGAATGATCCCCTGACACATGTGAGTTTATTCCTGGGTGATCCCGGAAATATTTAAAGAGGAAGACCCTTAAAATGATGGGAGTTGGAGCCTTAAAGTTATGAAATTGGGAGAATTAATGTTAATTGGGGCTGTTCATTCCCATTGGTTAATAAAGCCCAAGATATTCAGGTCACACTTACAAGTGAAAAATTAAAACAAATTGTCAGATAATAAGAAATTGATTAAATAAATTACGGCATTCATATTTATTAGGAAGTTATTTGGTATATATACATATAGGGTTGTGTGTGTGTGTGTGTGTGCGTAGAGAAAGAGAAAGAGAGAGAGAGGAGGTCTACATTTTTTATTTATATGTGCATAAATGTACAACCAAGAGTTTAGAAGATAAACAATTAAATGGACACTGGATAGTAGGATTTGGGGTCACTTACACTTTTTATTTCTTTTTGATATCTCAATTTTACAACTTTCCTAAGATTATGCATTGTGTGTCACATACACAACTCTCTCTCTCTCTCTCTCTCTCACACACACACACACACACACTTATGTAAACTACTTGTACATGCTAGACAGTTGCAGTTGCAGTTTCTCAAAACCTTTTTATTAAAAAGGTATCATACCTATAATTTTAGGATGTGTTCAGATAGAGTACTAGCAGTTTGACTAATATATTTATAAAGTACAGAGCTAAGAAGTACATGCATTTTTGAGGCACTGGGGGAAAAGCAAGTATCTAAGCTCAGTGACCATCTAGGTTCAGGGAAGAAAAAGAAGTTTGGATTCCTCTTTCATTTTCTTGGCAAAGGTCTGGTGCTCTGGATGAGGAGTAGCACCTGGTCCACATGCACACAAGGGACACCCAGAAGTTTGCAAATGATAAGGGGCTCTGGGAATATTTGTCTGAGCAGCGCAGACTAGGGAAGGTGTTTCTGCAGGTTCTACCTGGGCAGGCATCCTCACATCTGTCATCTCAGAACCTGACAGGGAACGGGCGTGGGGCAGGCCCTTCATATGAGGTTGTGGCATTCATTAAGCAACACCATCCATCAACCGATGCCACGGGCACTTGGCTGTATTCTTTAAGCACTTTGCATGACTGTGTCTAGCCTGCACTTTTTTTTTTTTTAATAACTGATCAGGAGTATCATTCCCATCACAAAGATAGGAAAACCGAGGCTCCAAGTGGCTTAATAACTTCACCACCACTCGGCATCTCTGATGGTATCATGCAGTGGCATTTGTCATCCCAGGAGAGAAAGGAACAAAGGGAAGAAGGGAAGCAGCCGAGCAGGAGCAGCCCCTTGCCGGCATGGGTATTAGAATGCCGCGCCACTGCTCCTTGATGGCCCAGACAGTGGAAATTAGGGGGCACAAAAGCTCCTTCTCTTGTCGTCTGTAACATGTCTTTACTGTTGATGAGCAGAATTCAGAGAGTGTAAGAATTGCATACTTAACAGAAGCTCATCCAAGCCTCTTTGGTCTGGATAATGGGCTGGAAATCAAGCTCTTGCTGAGAGTTTCTAGTTCAATCAAGTCAGAAAATTACATGAATTTCAATTTTTAAAATTCATATATTTTTACAATATGATTGAAGGGGTACTTTGGACTTGAGCTTCTACCAGCTAGCCCACATTTCTCCATTCCTCACCTAACATCCCAAAATGCAGGGATCTATTCTAGAGAATTTAATGGTATTCAGGCTGCCAGGAAAGGAACACATGCTTGAAGTACTTGGTCCATGGGAGGACTTCAATAGTTAGGCTGACTTCATTCTGTGGAAATACAAATGATTTTAAAGTAAATTCATGCCTATTGAAGTCCCTGATACTATTTGTAGAAGTCACAAATTGGAAGACAGTAACTCCCAAAAGCAAATCCCTGCCCCCGACCCTCCACCCCCAAAGAAAAGGGGGAGAAAAGGAGGAAGGAGGGAGGGGGGAACAAGAACAATAAGGACAGAGTTAATCATATTCGTAATGGTGCCTCTTGTAACTTGAAGTCACTTTCAACCCTATCAAAGGTGCTAAATTATATGAAAAGTTATCTGGTCTACTTCCCATAAAGGAAGAGGAGGTATGAAGGAATATGAAACAGAAGCGCATACTAGCCATTTAAATTCTGGAAGTGACCTGTAAGTGAGGATTTCTGGAAATACCAGTAAACAAAACAAAAATCTTCAAAGGCTGGATCTCAGTACCCTCTCTAGTGTTTCCCTTAGATTCCCTGGTGAAATACTGAGTCAAGAGTGGGAATCAGCAGTTTAGATGTCATACGCTTTTCAATCTATGCATTTCCCACCTTTTTTGTCAAGATATCCAAGGCAACTTCCATGGGAATTTCAGTTCCCCGTGTATCCTAAAAATTGCCTCTAATTATAAGACTTTCAAAATCTGCATGTGTCTCAGCCACACTTACACAAGTCAATACCTGCCATCACTTACTGTTAGTTTTCTTTTTTTTCCCCATCACCATCCCTATGGCCTTCTAACCCTTTCTCCCTCCCTCTTAACCTCAGAAACCTCGCTTTATCAGGGTCTGCTAGTTTTGGTAAGTATTCTGTTTTGTCAACATCTGTAATGCAATCATCCAGTATTTGCCTTAGTAATTTTGACTTGCTTTACTACACAAAATGCCTTTAGGCTCCTTCAATTTTGCTATAAATGGTAACATTTCATCTTTCCTTATGGCTGAATAGTACTCCGTAGTGTGGACAGACCACATCTTCCTAATCTGATCCTCCTCCCGGGAGCACTTTGGTTGCATCGGTGTCCCAGCTATTACCGGGAATGCCACAATAAACTTTGTGTACAGATAATCTTTTGAGTTGATGGCTTCATGTTCTACGCATAGATTCCCAACAGTGAGGTTGCTGGGTCATATGGATTTCCATTTTCAGTTTTTTTGAGGTAGATCCAGGTCACTTTCTAAAATAGCTGCGGCAGTCCTATTTCCATTAGCAATATGTTAGGGTTCCGTGTCCCTGCACCCACGAGAGCACTTACATTTCGTGTCTTTTTAACGTGTGCCACACTCACAGGCGTGAGATAATCTTGTGTGGTTTTGACCCACATGTCTCTTATTAAAAGTGATGCCGAACAATGTCCATGTATCTACTGGCCCTCTGGATAGCCTCTTTGGTGAGCTGTCTGTTCAGACCTGCTTCCCACTTATTAATCGGGGTGTTTGGTTTTTTCGTTGTTAAACTGAGTAAGAGTCTGTGTATCACGGGTATTAATCCTTTGTCTATTGTGTAATGTGTGAACATGTCCTCCCATTAGTAAGATTTCATTTAATCTACTTACATTTTCTTTTGTTGTATAAAAGCCCTTTAATCTGAGGCAATCCCAGTGGTTTGTTGTTGCTTTTATTTCCCTTGCCGTAGGGGACGAGTCTCCATGGACATCTTTATCATTGATGCCATGCATATACATCTTGCTCTTTTTAAAATAAATATTTCCCTGTAAGAAATACATTTAGGCCTTCTCTTATCCTGAATCAAATTCTTCAAGGTACTGAGGGTGTTGGAACAGGCAGAGAAATGAGAGATGAGCTTTTCCAACCCTTCTATCTCACTAGTGAGGATACGGGTCTGAGCAGTTGAGACTCTAGCCTGCAGTCCCAACATGATTTTCTGCAAAGTAAAGAACAGTGTGGATGGTGCAAAGGGACAGGTCTCTGGAGTTACACAAACTGCATGAGTCCCAGACCTGTCCTTTGCCCTGTGGCTGGAGATGTAGCCCTGTAACTGCAGTCTCCACAATGCTCTCTGTAAAATGGAGACAATACAATATATATTAAAGGCTGTTGTGCACTGAATGAGAGCTTTGGACTCCGGCTTTCAGCAAGCTCCTGTGTCCTTTTTAAAAGACAGACACCAAAAGAAGTTAAATATTTAGGAGATTAAGATGGCCAAATTTCCTTATTTATTTTAGGCCACATGGAAATGAGATAGGACTTTTATTCTTAACTGATTTATGTAATTCTTATTTTCTGCAAGCTCTGTGTCTCCACCGGAATGCCATTAAAAAAAAAAAAAACAACAAATTTTCAGTGATGACAGAAGCTAGGATTTTTATTCTTCCTTTTTGGAAAGTATTCTCTGGCATAGTAGAGAGAGAGGGATTCCCTTGACACTGACCTGTATTACTCAGGGTGTAGTGCACAATCCAGAGGATGGGCCTCCTGATAAGGTTCATATAGTAATCATAGAAAATCAGACTGAACACTTGGTGTAGAATCAGGAAAATCACAAGATGAATGGACCTATGTGAATATGAACATAGCCTAATCTTCAGTGAGAAAGAAAAAAAGAAAGATACTGGCAATTATCGTTCTGTAAACATCACTTCCAGCCACAATAATTGTGTGTGTGTGTGTGCGTGTGTGTGTGTGTGTGTGTGTGTGTGTGTAAGTAGCAGGAGAGTGATGATATCAGGAACGATAAGTGGCTTAGACTTCAAAGAAACAAATCATGCCAGCACAATAGCTTTTTATGACAGAGTTATGAATAGATGAAGGGGAAATGCAAGAGAGGTAATCTATCTTATGTTGGTAAAGATTTGATATGTCGCATGAAATTTTATTTGCAAAATTAGCTACAAGATCACAAAGAAAGGTTATTGATAAATTGCAAAGTATGTGGTTGTAGGAAGGGGCAGAGATGGCTGTTGGGGGTGGTCTTATTTAATGCCTTCATCATTAAACTGGAAGAGGGAATGAATCTTTCTCTGCGTTCATGAAAATTGCAGGTTATACTAAATCAGAATGTGGTATGAACACTGATGAGCCAGAAACTGACACAAAGGTGTCTGAAAAGAAAGGGGGACTTTGGACAGAAGCAAGAACCAACTGAAAAAAGCAATGCTTTTAGATGATTTTATATCTTTTCATAATAATGAGTAGAATGAGAACTTTGTAGCAAAGTAGTGCTACAGAGAGTTGCAGAAGATGGACAATTGAAAAGAATCCGTTAGACACACACTGTGGGGACTAGTATCTTTTGGGGACCTACCATGTGCCAAGTTCTGCATTTGGACTTCACAGTCTCTGAGTAGGTGTTCAGAGAAGGTCAACAGATATTAAGAATCCCAGAATAAAAGAGGAACTTAAAGTTTACATAATCTAACCATTATTCACTAAGTATAATTTGACACAGACTTAACTTCTTTCACTTTCTAGGAGCTGAGAGTCTATAGATTTATATTATCTCTGTAAGTCTGTGACCCACCTTAAGTTTTGTAAAACGTGTGAGGTTTGAATCAAGGTAATACATATATGTATATATATTTGCATAGGTAAGTCCAATAACTTTTATCTTTTCAGGAGAGCTCCTGTCTTCCTAGTTTGCAGAAAGGTTTTAATAACGGATGTTCAATTTCTCAGAAAATAATGCATTCATTTCAAGAACCAAATAATTTTTCTATTGGTGCTCTATTATCTTTAGGAGGAATTAAAAGTTAGAAACATGAATTTATATAATAGTTCTTAATTTTGCACAGATCCACATGTTTGTATGATATCACATTCCTTCTCCCTGGAGACCTTTTAAAAGCATATCCTGCAAGATAGAAATGATGGCAATAAAAACTATGTTCTTGTTTGTCAGATAAATTCATTTATCCTTCATTTTTTTTAAAGATTTTATTTATTTTATACAAGAACCAGGGTACAGGCCAGATGTGCAGGAGGGTGAGAGGATTCACCAGAGACAGAGCAGGGAACAGAACAGGCAGACTGACGAAATACACTGCTGAGGGGAGCAGCAGGCGACACAGGAGAGGTCTGCCGCGCCATGTGGAATTCTCGCCGGCTGGCCGGGATCAAACCAGCGCTGCAACTGCAGAGGCTGCGGACAGCTTCAGAGTGTGGCGCTCAACTGCCTGAGCCACCAGGGAGGCCCTATTTATCCTTCATTTTTAAAAGGTTTTTTTTCAGGAGTAGAATTCTGAATTGACACGTTTTGATTTTTTTTTTCCTTTCAGTGCTGTTGTCACTCCATGGTGTTTTGATTTGTGTGATTTCTGACAAGAAGTCTGTTGTGATTCTTATTTTTGTCAGTCTATAAGTCATGTGTTTTTTTCTAGCTTCCTTTAAATGTTCATTTTTCTCCCTTTGGTTTCGAACAGTTTGGTCATGATATGGCTGGAGGTATATTTGGGTGTTTGTGGGCGCATGCACAATTGTGTATATGTATTTATCTTTCCTAGTCTTCTCTGAATTTCTGTGATTTGGTACTCATCATTAATTTTGGAAATGTTAAGCCATTATTTCTTCTCTTTTCTCTCTTGGAGTCTATGAATACATATGCTAGACCCTTTGATATTTTCCAATAGCTCTTAGATGCTCTGCTCTGTTTATTTATCATTAGTTTTACTCTTTGTGTTTCAGTTTTTATATTTCATATAGGTTTATCTTCAAGTTCACTGATTCTTTCTTCAGCTTTGTTTAGTCTACTTATGAATGTACTGAAGGCATTTCTTTAGTTCTGTTACTGCAGTTTCATTTTAGGCATTTCTATGTGACTTTTGCTAAAGTCACACTTTTAACTTCTTTACTGATGTTACCTACATTATCTTGTCCTCCTTTCATATTAGAGTCTTTGACATACTAATCCTAGTTCTTTAAATTCCTTCCCTAAAGTCCCAATATCTGTGTCATATCTGAATCTGGTTCTGTTGTTTGCTTTCTCTCTTAAAAATGTGATGTTTCTACCCATTTTTTTCACCTGCGTCATAGATTTTCACTGAGAGCTTGATGTTTTGTGTAGAGCAGTAGGGGATGAGATAAATAACTTTGTTTGGGAAATGAAGATTCCTCTCTGCTAGGTTTTTACTGTTAAATTTTGAATCAATCTAGCGAAGGTCAAGCTGTGTTTAGGCTTTATTGTTGCTGTGGTTAGCCACAATGTACCACAGACTTCAAATTCCTCCAGTGATAACTTGTATTTAGCTTGGGGACTTGCTCAATATGTTTTTTCTCCCTCAATGTCTGCTTCACACATCAGTCACTCCTTTTTGCTGTACCTCAGAGAGTCTCTTTCCACACTCTTGTAATTTCATAGCAGAATTCCATGATTACTTGACACTAGTTAGCCTGGTGGTGCTGCCAGGGATATTCTCTATTACTCAGATAATGCTTCAGACTTAGCTAGATACTGTGCTCCAGAGTCTCATGGGTTTTCACTGCTTTCTTAATACTTCTACCCCTTGCGCCTCCCCTGGAGGCACAGGCGGTTGAGTGTCACTCTGTGAAGCTGTCCGCAGCCTCTGCAGCGCTGGTTCGATCCCGGTCGACCAGCAAGGGTCCCACATGGCGCAGCAGACCTCTCCTGTCTCGCCTGCTGCTTCCCTCAGCAGTGTATTTCGTCAGTCTGCCTGCTCTGTTCCCCGCTCTGTCTCTGGTGAATCCTCTCAACCTCCCAAACATCTGTCCTGTACCCCGGTTCTTATATAAATAAAATACATAAATCTTAAAAAAAATATTCCTACCCCTTTCTTAAGAAGTTGATTTTTTTCTCTTTTCTTACCTAGCTTCTCTAGGTTTTCACAAGTACCTGAGGGTAACAATGTTTGTTGCTCCTCTTCCCACAGTCTAAGGGTTTTGTTTCTTAGGAACAGTAGGAGATGGGGATCAGGCAGGATGAAGGAGATCCTCCCTTTCCCACAGCCCTACAATTCCTCTGGTAAAGCACATACTTCAAGGGATACTTTCTCAAATCCCTTACCATTATTTTTTGCAAGCATGTGGTAAAATTATTGGAAAAGAACATACAAATGGGTAAGAAACTAAACTCCCGGGAGTTCTATATTTTCTACACTATTCAACTACAATCAGTCTTTGCTAATCTATACTCAGTCTTCACCAATTTGTTAACAGTTTACTCATCTACAATAAGTCTTTGCTAATCTATACTCAGTTTTCACCAATTTGTTAACAGTTTGAGCTAAGTTTTTCTTACCAGTATCCAGCTGCATCTGTCCCAGGTAAGAAAATGTTCTCACTTCATCTCTCATTGTAGGCACCTGTTATTTCTCAGCAATCTGAGAGTAAATAAAAGTTGTGAATTTGCTCTTTATAGGAGGTGGGGGAGGGATTGTGTGTTGTTGCTATAGTTGTTATTGTTATTTTTGCAAAAATGAGCTTGATGCTTTTCTAGATTCTGTATCCCTAGATGGAACAAAACATCTGTTTGCTTATGATGAGACAACCATAAATCTGCCCTGCATTTGAGACCATATCCCAGTCTTGCCTCTACCTTTTTCTTTGGTAGCATTTTCCGGGATTTGGAACTGAAGGTCCTGATGCAGAAGAGAAAAAATATACTCTTCCTGCAGGTAAAATGATATCCACCTCTTATATTTATTTGACTCTTTTGATATTTGTTTTAGAATCTACTTTGGATATTTTCCATTATTCTCTTTATCAAGACAATAAAACCTTCAGAACTTCTCTTGTGTTGAGAGAGTATGTGAATTACATCATTACAAATTTATTTACCCTTGATAACACTTCACAGAAGCTTTTCTAAACCACAATTTCCTATTTCCTATTTCGAAAGTATAAAGCTAACAAGCTATTCTGTTATTTCAAAAAAGAAAAGAAATCATTCAATTAGTTGTATGTCAAATGAAAGGGACACTTTGAATTGTGGCATCATTCTGAACATATGAAAAGCAAAGTCTGCACCTGTCATCACTATGGGATGAGGCATGAATATTCTATACATTTCTGATTAATCAAAATCCATGCAAAAATATCAGTCAGATCAGAAAAGTCAGACTTGATTAAAACACATTTAGCTTATCTGTATTGTCTGGATATCACACAGATTAGAACAGAAGCCAATGTGATAGTGTGGGAACAAAAGACTTGTCAACCTGACACTATTTTAAACACAGAAACAAATGGAATCCTGCAAACCAATTCTGATTAACTAAACCTGACTCTACCTTGAAAAACATAATGGCATTTTTATGATTTTAATATGGTTATCAGCACATCCCTTCTATTCTGAGGTATCTAGACATGCAATCTTCAGGTATTGGGAAATAACATCTTCAATTTGAGAATAACGTGACCTGCAGTATGCAGCCACAGACAGGAAACTACAGGGCAAACTTGTTTCTGGTGTGATTAAAAGCTCACTTGAAAGGACCTCTTTGCATGTGGAGCTTTCCTGGGCAAAGGATAGAGAGCTTCTTTGTCTTCAAAGAGCTTCAAAAGATATAAAGGGAAAAAAAGCATGTGCAAACTGGAGAATCAGCTGTGTGAGGTATTAATATTTTATATTCTGAATATAGTCTCTCAAGCCCCTACTCCTTGACTCCTTTCCCTAAATAATCTGTTGAAACAAAATCTCTACCAGACCCCTATTGCTATTGTGTGATGCAGACTGAAGAATCTGGAATAACTGGGTGGTCGTGACCTGTGATTGAGGATAAGAAAGTGGGTATAAACAGTGAGGAGGAACAATCTTTCCAGCTTCACCTCAGAGGGAATTGGGGGAGGGGGCAGATGTGGCCATGTGTCCTCTATAAGACTTTAATGCATTGTGCAAAAAACTTCTTTGTCATGCCTTTCACTGTCATATTAGCCACCTGAGGATTAAACCACACACTCTCTGAGAAGCAGAAAGGAAAGATCAACCATTTCTCTCTCTCTCCGGAAAATCAGCCCCTTTTGGTTCCTACAGTCCATCCCTCAGGGACTCAGCAGCCTGCCTCACTCCCTCTAATGATGCACATCAGCATTTCTGATAGAAGCACCTGCTAATCCTCCCACCCTGGTTGGCAGAGGGTGAGGAGGTGAGCTGTTTCAACAGGGCTGTGTGCCTTTTTAAAACACTCCATCTCTGCCAAAATGCTTTCAATAAAGACGCTTTTTCATTTTTAAGAAGAGGGTGACACAAATTATAAAATCGGAATTGTTTTCCATTCAAAATGAGTTAATAATCACAGCATTAATGGACTTTTCTAGCTTCTATAACATCAGTATAACACTCTTGCAAAACTAGTCAAGTTGAAATATTCTCACTGACATCCCTCTTCTTATTTTAGTTAAATCAACCCCTGCCCTTTTGCAATTCACTTTTCTTAAGATCCATGAACTCATTGGCATTAGCAAGCAATGGGAAAAGGTGTGATGTTATAACATGTACAAAGTCCTGTCCAAACTTCTCATTCAAGGGTCAAGGACCCTTTGTAAAAACACTTGACAGCTTGAATTGTGATGAAATTCTAGTTTGATAAACCCACTAGGAGAAAATTTTTAAAAATTGCTAAGACATTTAGAGTCAAGTTTATCTCAAATTCTCTAGGTAAGAGATCTATTTTGAAATGTACTTTTTCAATTCTAGTTTATTTACACTATATTCTACATATTTTCAAGTATGGTATCCTAAATAGATGCAAAGATATTTCAATAATTTTTTCTTGTAACATCAACTAAACCTACTCTCATGTATTTTTTAGAATGTGTGCCTTGTTCTAAGAGGAAAAAACAGGTACCATATGAATATGTAATGATGAAATTTCTATAGATTGAAAGATCAATGACTTTTAATGTTAATTTTTTTTTAACTTGGGCATTACATTTAAAATTGTCTGACCAAAGTTAATTAGGCAGGGATCTTTTCAAGCAAGAAATTTATTGTCAGAAAAAAAAGGCAAGTTGCGGGGTGAAAGGGGGAGAGCAGAAAGAGGGGGGTGGAGAAAGAGAGGGAGAAAGAGAAGAACAGAGAGAGGGAGACTATGAAGGTTATGACCCAAAGAATTGGTTTGAAATTATATACCTTATGCACATCAGCAGCAACAATGAAATAAGATAGATGAATATAAAATCTACATGCCAGAACTTAGAAAGCATGGATCTTGAGTGAAATCATGAAATAAAATAGAATCTAAGTGCTGTGCCTTAGTGTAAAAAGGTTGACATGCTACATAGCAAGAAATGCCATCTGTTTGTAAGATTCACTATGAAGACCGTCAGTGCAGTTACATACAGACAATAGTTTTTCTCTTAGATGTAGCGAGCATTGGTGGTGGCCCACCCAGCACCCAACTTGGCTTTCTGAATCTCAAAAAGACTCTGAGTACCAGCAGCCTCCACACACCCAGCGAGACTTGGGGGAGCCTGACTTCACCGCAGTTCCAGGGAGTAGACCTGATTAGATAAAGGTCATCCTGTTTCTGCAAACCAGGAGGCAGCAAACCTTTCCCAGAAAGGGTTGGACAGTAAATACTTTGGGCTTCGTGGTCATACCATCCCTGCTGTTGCTACTCATGTCAAGCAGCACAATACTTCATTGATGAGTATGACTGGATCCAAGAAAATCTTATTCATGAACACTAAACTGTTAATTTCATGCAATTTTCACATTATGCAATATCATTCTTCTTTTTGATTTTTTCCAAGCATTTAAAAATGTGAAAGACATTTTTAGTTATCAGGTTATACCAAAACAGACAATGGGTCCAATCTGGCCTGTGGGCTGCTGTCTGCTAACTCTTGCTCTAGGGACAAGTTTTATCCAGTAGCATCTTCTGGGATAGTGGAAATATTCCACTAGTTGGCCAGATGTGGCTGTTTAGTATTTGAAATGTGTCTAGAGTGACTGAAGAATTGAATTTTTATTTCAATTTAATTTTAATTTAAATGTAAACAATCATCTTTAGTGAGTGTAATAAGGACTCCCACTCCATTTTGTGATGTTTGGCTGCTGACCGTTTCAATTCTCATCCTTTTTCCTCTTTGTGCCCCACATCTAAATAACTGATAAGAAAGTCTGGGTGCTATTTTCTTTGGTGCTGATGGGAGAGTTAAATGACCAGATCCCTGTCCATACTCAAGAACTCTCCCCTGGCCTCAGCCTAACACCAATAAAGGAACCAGATGAGTCTCTTTACCTCTCTTGAGCCATTCTGAACTCTGAGGAACCCTGCTTTCCCTAAATTATGTAAGTTATGAACCTTGTCATACCCCCGGTGTGTATATGACATCATCAGTCTTGACATCTTAATCAAATTTAGGGTGAGGGCCCACCAGTCTCTCCTGGTAGCCATAGTGAGGCATTATCATACTAAACAACACAGCTCAGAAATTAGTTTGTTCGTGAATAGGTAGGTGACTCCGTTTAAAGTTGGACTATTGGGAACACAATGAGAAATTGACTAGAGAAGTGTAGGAAATTTCTTTCTATTTTATTTTATTTTATTTTTTTGGAAATAAGCCTCTGGTTTTGACTGTGAAAGTTCTTTTTAAATTTTTTTGGAAATAAGCCTCTGGTTTTGACTCAATGTGAGCAGGGAATTTTGTAGCCCATTTGTTGCTGGCATCTGTGTTTTACCTACAAGGAGAACCAACCTTGGAGAATGAAGTTGAACCTATGATAGGATAGTACATCCTTAATGACAATATTGAATCAACCATTCCTAAAGCAGCCACATCCTCTCAGCTTCTAGGGATGTGCGCCAATACATTTCAGAATCAGTTTTCAGTTAATTACAATCTAAACCATTCTAATATATACCATTGATTCTAAAAAGCATGTTTTCTCCTCTCATTTTAAAAACTCTACCATTCAGGTGATTCTTACAATCTACAGCATGGCATAGCTTAGCTGATAAAATCTTTTTCTATCTTTGCTCTACACAAAATAACAGTGTGTCTTATAATTGGAAATGTCTTAGATCTGATAAAATACTTTAGGTTTGATGAATACTTTAGGTGTTGGGGTTTTCCTCTTTCCTTTTTTTTGTACATATGATTGTTTAACTTTTAAGTAACTTTTTCTTCTAAGATCGTCTTTTCTTCAAGTTTTATATATCTCCCAGAACTATGAAGCAGTATTTTCATGTTTGCATACCTTCAGAGCATGCCTAAGTGAATTTTTTTACCAGAATCAGATTTTATTTCTTGAAGAACACATTCTGTTTTGTGAACTAAAGGTAATATGAAAAACATCAACCAAAGTTGTACAGATCATTTGGGAATATCAACTAAATTAAAAAAGATTGTTAAGGGGCTGACATATTCTAGCACC